GGGTTTATTTACTAAAACTGCAGAGTGCACAATCAGGCTCACTTCTGCATAGAAACCAATCTGCTTCTAACCTCAGCTCATTCAGTTAAGTTTTGGCAACAAAACCTGGAAGCTGATTGGTTTCTATGCAGAAGTGGGCCAGATTTTGCACTCTCCAGCTTTAGTACATAAACCCCCAAGTGTAACCATACAACCGTATGACTGGGAACACCCAGAAATCCACATCCGCCAGAAACCAAGCAGGCAACCACAGTGGGGAGATCATGACATCAGGGACCTCCAACAAGTATAACAGAATCGTTACTTATTGGACTTACCATATAGATATGGCTTCCATAAGATCAGTCAATACTGCCTCACTGTAAGGAACAAGTAGACATCTGTACCGGAAAATGACACCAGAGAACACCAACTATACTGGTCATGCAAATCTCGTGTACACTGTGCAATGTTCTGCAAATACTTTATTTGTGACAACTTCAAAATGAATTCTATATACACACACCCAGATATATAAAACAGTGTTCTGTAGCACTCCCCTGTGTGGGACAAGGGGCCTGAGTAGGGGAATAATCAATTCATTCTATAAAGCTGCAGAGACACGTGTTACTTCTCCATCCTACACACTACCCAGAGGATAGAACACGGCAAAACTCTGATTATTGTAAATATTTAAGCAGACTCCCTGGGGTCCCAACAAACCTGAATTGTAAACTCGTGTGATCCTGTCAGAGAACTTCCTATTGGGTGACATAGCACAGCTTTCTCCACTAGAGGTAATGCTTCCACCTTGCCCTAACCAAGGATGTGTCCTACCCAACCATGACTGGCATTCTGCTTGATACAGCACAGCTTTCTCCAGTAGAGTGAAAGCTCTCATCTCACTGCAACCAAGGATGTGTCCAAAACCCAACCATGAAAGAAGTTGATACCCACCCCTACTTGACTACTAATACGACACCTATGGCTCTCACCCCTAACTGACTACCGATGTGACACCTATGACCTTCATCCCTATCTGACTACCAATGTGACACCTATGACCCTCACCCCTATCTGACTACCGATGTGACACCTATGACTCTCACCCCTATCTGACTACCGATGTGACACCTATGACCTTCACTCCTATCTGACTACCGATACGACACCTATGACCCTCACCCTGACTACCAATATGACACCTATGACCCTCACCCTGACTACCAATATGACACCTATGACCCTCACCCCTATCTCACTACCGATGTGACACCTATGACCTTCACCCCTATCTGACTACCAACGTGACACCTATGACCCTCACCCCTATCTGGCTAGCGATACGACATCTATGACTCTCACCCCTATCTGACTACCGATGTGACACCTATGACCTTCACTCCTATCTGACTACCGATACGACACCTATGACCCTCACCCCTATCTCACTACCGATGTGACACCTATGACCTTCACTCCTATCTGACTACCGATACGACACCTATGACCCTCACCCCTATCTCACTACCGATGTGACACCTATGACCTTCACCCCTATCTGACTACCAACGTGACACCTATGACCCTCACCCCTATCTGACTAGCGATACGACATCTATGACTCTCACCCCTATCTCACTACCGATGTGACACCTATGACCTTCACCCCTGACTACCGATGTGACACCTATGACTCTCACCCCTGTCTGACCACTGATACAACCCCTATCTGACCACCAATGCAACACCTATGACCCTCACCCCTATCTGACTACCGATGCGACATTTATGACTCTCACACCTATCTGACCACCGATGCGACACCTATGACCCTCACCCCTATCTGACTAATGATGTGACACCTAAGACCCTCATCCCTATCTAACTACCGATACGAAACCTATGATTCTCACCCCTATGTGACTACCGATACACCTATGATCCTCACCCCTATCTGACTACCCATGTGACATCTATGACCTTCACCCCTATTTGACTACCGATAGGACACCTATGACTCTCACCCCTATCTGACTACCGATACGATACCTCTGACTCTCACCCCTATCTGGCCACCAATGTGACACCTATGACCTTCACACCTATCTGACTATCGATGTGACACCTATGACCTTCACCCCTATTTGACTATTGATACGACACCTATGACCCTCACCCCTATCTGACTACCGGTGTGACACCTATGACCCTCACCCCTATCTGACTACCGATACAACACCGATGACTCTCACCCCTATCTGACTAGCGATATGACACCTATGACCCACACCCCCATCTGACTACCGATGTGACACCTATGACTCTCACCCCTATCTGACTACTGAAACAACCCCTATCTGACCACCGATGCAACACCTATGACCCTCACCCCTATCTGACCACTGATGCGACATTTATGACTCTCACACCTATCTGACCACCGATGCGACACCTATGACCTCACCTTTATCTGATCACCAATGTGACATTTATGACTCTCACCCCTATCTGACCACTGATGTGATACTTATGAACCCCCATCCATCCTTCCATGCAAGACCACAAATGACATCTATGAGCTTGTCCCCTGTCAGACCACAAATGACACCCATTTCCCTATCACCATAGACATAAGGGGGGGGACTCTAGTGACCCGAGACCCCCTTACATTGACTTTTTCTGTACATCAGAGTCTGCAGCATTCCCCCTTACATCAGAGTCCTCAGAGTCCTCTTTACACTAGGGTCCGCAGTGTTCTTCCTTGCACTGTAGAGGGGAGTACTTCAGACTTTGATGTAAGGGGGGTCTCTGCGTTGGGTTATTTTACCCCGACCTTCATGTGACTGGAGAAAAATGTATTTTGCCTTTTGTTATACCTAAACACATTGTTAATAGCACAACTACATGTTTGTAGCTGAAATATTGTTATTTTCACTGTTTTGCAGAGAAAACTATCATTTTATGTACTTTTTTGAAGTGCCAGTAAAACAAAATTCTGGTTCTGTTAGTAAATTTCATGAGTTTTGTCAATATAAAAAAAAATGGTGCTGCCAGTGAATTTTTGGAGTCCGGTCAGTAAAATGTACCTGCAGGAGTCTGGCAACACTGTACTGGATAGATTTGATACTTTTGTTACTAAATGATTTTATCTTCTGTTTATTATGACTGACTCGGAAAGCCCTGACCATCTATGCTCTCTGTGGTTGGGCAGGGGATGTGGACATAGGGGACATATTGGGTCAAATACGGAATGAATGCATAGGGATTATCTGTGGTTTGGAAGGGGATGGTCCATAGGAATCATTGGTGGTCTGGTACAGGACAGAGGTCATTGGTATTCTCTGTGGTCAAGTAGGTAATGGGGGACAAAGTTGTCTTCTGTAGTCCAGAAGGGGATGGGACATAGGGGACATCTGGGGTCAGATATATGATGGAGGCATAGGGGTCCTCTGTGGTTTGGCAGGGGATGGGGGCCATATGTATGGATCATTGTTGGTCTGGCATGGGGCGAGGTCATAGATGTTCCCTGAGGTCCAGTGGGTGATGAGGGGCAAAGATGTTTTCTGTGGTCTGGAAGGGGAAGAAAGCATAAATGTCATCTGTGGTCAGATATAAGAGATGGAAGCATAGGGGACATTTGATATTAGATATGGGATGGGAGCATAGGGGACATCTGTAGTCAGATAGGGGCATAGGGGACAGTTGATGTCAGATATGGGATCGGGACATACAGATCATCTGTGTTATAGCAGGGGATAGGTCATAGGTGATTTGGTATGGGGCAGAGGTCATAGGTGTTCTCCGTGGTCAAGTACATAATGTGGGACAAAGATGTCTTCTGTAGTGCAGAACGGTATGGAGTCATAGATGTCCTCTGTGGTTAGGCAGGGGACATCCGGTCTCAGACATAAGATGGGGGCATAGTGGACATTTGGGAACAGATATGTGATGGGGGCATAGGGGTCCTGTGTAGTTTGGTAGGGAATAGGGCCATATGGATCACTGGTGGTCTGGTATTGGGCAAGGCCATAGATGTTCTCTGTGGTCCAGTAGGTGATGGGGCGGGGGCATAGAAGTCTTCTGTGATCAGATATGGGATGGGGGCATTGGAATCAGATGTGCATTAGGTGCCTAGGGATCATCTGTGAGTTGGCAGGGGGTAATTCCACAGGGATCGCTGGTGGTCTGGTAGGGGGTGAGATCATAGATGTTCTCTGTGGTCAGATATGGGATGGGAGAACAGGAGAAATCTGGGTTAGATATTGGATGGGGGTGTAGGTGGCACCTGTAGTGAAGCAGGGGATGGGGGTAGAGGGGACAGCTATGAATTGGCAGGGTATGGTCTCACAGAGATCATTGTTGGCCTGGTAGAGGGTGGGGGCATAGGTGTTCTCTATAGGCAGATAATAGACATGGAGCTAGGAGACATCTTTGCCCCTTATCCCCTTCTGGACCATATAGAACACCTACCCCCTACCAGATCACCAATGATCAGCCCCTGCTGGACCACAGCAGTCCCCTATGTTCCCGTCCCCTGCTGGACTACAGCTGTCCCCTATGTCCTCTGCTGAACCACAGCTGTCCCCGATCACAGCTGTCCGCTTTGTCCCCTATGTCCCCTGCTGGACCACAGCTGTCCCCTATGTCCCTGTCCCCTGCTGGACCACAGCTGTCCCCTATGTCCCAGTCCCCTGCTGGACCACAGCTGTCCCCTATGTCCCAGTCCCCTGCTGGACCACAGCTGTGCCCTATGTCCCCATTCTCTGCTGGACCACAGCTGTCCCCTATTTCCCCGTCCCCTGCTTAACTACAGTTGTCCCCATCCCCTGCTGGACCACAGCTGTCCCCTATGTCCCCATCCCCTGCTGGACCACAGCTGTCACCTTTGTTCCCTATGTCTCCTGCTGGACCACAGGTGTCCCCTACACCCCACCCCATATCTGCTCTCAGGTGTCCCCTCTCCTCCCGGCCCATAGATCTGTCCCATCCTCCTGTCAGGACCCCCAGCCTGTCCTCACCACAGTGCGATCCTGTCCTTGGGGTATCGGAGCCGGTCCAGAGCCCCCAGCACCTCCGGCAGGGACCCCTCGGCGTTCCTGGCCAGCAGGGAGATGAGGACGGTGGGTGGCCGAAGCGGGGACTCGGGGTTGTACCGTTCCTCGGGGAAGTAGGCGGCACTGAGCCCGGACAGTAGGGCGGACAGCAGCCACAGCCACCGCACACACTCCCAGCACCTCCGGAACATCGCAGCCACTCCGGTCACTTTCTGTCCTCCGACTACAAATGCCCGGCCGGAGCGGAGGATTAAAGGAGAGGCGGTGCCAGCGGCGCCAGATCACTGCGATTGGCGGCTAGAGAAGCGCTCCCTTTAAGCCGGCCAATATTTCTCCGCCGACTCCCAAGTTTAAAGGAGAAGTGTGCTGTCATTTGGGAGAACTCTTAAAGGGATGGGCCCACTGCCAACTCAAAGCCGTAATACACGTTGTAGCAGCGAAGCATCCAGTGTGTGGGAGGAGGGGGGGGAGGAGGGGGACATGAACGGCCCCATTCACTGATCACACGCTTACATCCCCTCTCACAGCTTCCCATTGGTCAGGATGTGACACGTGGGTAAAGCAGGCCATACACTATACAATCTGATTGTACAATTCCCTTTTGTAGATCTAGACATGCATCTGAATCCACCACTCCTCCTCTTGGGAGTTTAGTTCTGCACAGGGGCAGACTGACAACTCATGGGGCCCCCAGGCAATAGAGGATCATGGGGCCCCTGTGTCTTTGCCCAAACTCAAAAAAGTCTATGAAAAAGGTACCAGGGGCATCTCATGGGGCCCACTACTGACCCCGGGCCCTCGGGCAGTGCCTGAGTTTCCAAATGGTCAGTCTGCCCCTGGATCTGCATACCACTCTATAAAAATGGTCCAGGCTTTCCGGGTCAATATACAATGAACAGAAGATGAACCATGTAGTGACCGAAGTATCACATCCATCCAATACAGTCTGCCAGCCTCCTGAAGTTACATTTTACCGACAGGACCCCAAACATTTCCTGACAGGACCCCAAACATTTCCTGACAGGACTCCATTTACTGACAGGACCCCAAACATTTACTGACAGGACCCCAAACATATACTGACAGGAACCCAAACATTTACTGACAGGACCCCAAACATTTACTGACAGGAACCCAAACATTTACTGACAGGACCCCATTTACTGACAGGACCCCAAACATTTCCTGACAGGAACCCAAACATTTACTGACAGGACCCCATTTACTGACAGGAACCCAAACATTTCCTGACAGCACCCCAAACATTTACTGACAGGACCCCAAACATTTCCTGACAGGAACCCAAAGATTTACTGATAGGACCCCAAACATTTACTGACAGGAACCCATTTACTGACAGGACCCCAAACATTTACTGACAGGAACCCAGTTTACTGACAGGAACCCAAACATTTCCTGACAGCACCCCAAACATTTACTGACAGGACCCCAAACATTTACTGACAGGACCCCAAACATTTCCTGACAGGAACCCAAAGATTTACTGACAGGACCCCAAACATTTACTAACAGGAACCCAAACATTGCCTGACAGGAACCCAAACATTTCCTGACAGCACCCCAAACATTTACTGACAGCACCAACTGGTTTTTTTATACTGATTAAAAAAAAAATTATACTGACAAACTGGAATGTACTAAGGGAACAAGAATTTTTCTTACTGGCACTTCAAAAAAGTACATAAAATGTCAGTTTTCTCTGGAAAACAGTATCAATATTTAAGCTACAAACGTGTAGCCTGTGCTATTACCAATATGTTTAACCACTTCCAGTCCGGACACGTTCACCTCCTTCCTGTCCAGGACAATTTTCAGCTTTCAACGCTATCACACTTTGAATGACAATTGCGCGATCATGCAACACAGTACCCATATAAATTTTTTGGTATTTTTTTGAGACAGATAAAACTTTATTTTTGTGGTATTTATTCACCACTGGGATTTTTATTTTTTTGCTATATAAATGAAAATGTCCAAACATTTAAAAAAAAAAAAAAGTGTTTTTCTTATAACATTTTGCAAATAAATAATCTTTCTTCATAAATCATGACCAAAATGTATTCAGCTCTCTTTTTAGTAAAAAAAAAAAAATAACCCAAATTTATAACCAAAAATGATAATTTTTCAAAAAATTTTTTTACATTTTTATATTATTATTTATGGGGGTTTTTTTACATACTGTTACCCTAGCAGTCAGGGGCGGACTGACCATTTGGAAACTCGGGCACTGCCCGAGGGCCCGGGATCAGTAGATGCCCCTGGTACCTTTTTCATAGGCTTTTTTTAATTTGGGCAAGGACACAGGGGCCCCATGATCCTCTATTGCCCGGGGGCCCCATGAGTTGTCAGTCCGCCCCTGCTAGCAGTACAGTATCACCATAGTGACACTGTACTGCTTGTGGGGGGTGATGAAGATTTTTTTTTTTTTATACTGATTGCTTTTACTCCCATAAAGGCTGTAAAAGCAATCATTTCTTCTCTCTGGCTGCATTCTTGCAGCCGCTGAGAAATACTGTGTGAGCTGTGATCGGTCACAGCTTGTCACATGGTACAAGGCTGTTGTGAATAGTCTTGTACCATGTGACCTCTGTGATCATTCACAGATTTCACTAATAGTAGCAGCAGCAGCAATGATGTCAGGAAGTGACATCTTGCTTACTACTATTCATGTTATCACTGATTGGCCAATTGGTGATCACATGATAGGGACCTCACACAGAGGTCCCATACAGCGATCAGTGTTCCGTTGTGTACAGATTTCACACGTAGTAAGCAATGATGTCAGCAAGTGACAACTTGTTTACTGCTATTCATGTGATCACTGATTGGCCAATCAGTGATTACATGATCGGGACCTCACACAGAGTTCCCCTACAATGATCGGTGTCCGGAGGACACAGCAGGCACCGGATCGTGGTGCAGCGCACTCCCCGGGAGCCCGCACAGGCAGGGAAGCGGGAGGATGTTTATAACCGACCACCCGTCCCTGCACTGCTCCTGTCCAGCTGTTTATATACGTGTGCCGGACAGGAAGTGGTTAAAGTATACCAAAAGGCAAATAATATATTTAGGTTGGGATAAAATAACGCAGCACAGAGTTCTCCCTTACATCAGAGTCAGCAGTGTTCCCCTGTACAGTGCAAGGAAGAACTCTGTGGACCCTGATGTAAAGGAGAACTCTGATGTAAGGGGGAATGCTGCAGACTCTGGTGTAAAGCAAACAGCTTGCTATGGGGGCACCCGCTGCTCCATGAGTCCATTCACACATGGAGCCGAGGCTTGGCTCCGCTCCCTCTCTCTCCTCATTGGCTGACTGGCTGTGATTGACAGCAGCAGGAGCCAACAGCTCCTGATTGCTATCTCAGCCAATGAGGAGGCAGAGACCCGGAACAGCCGAGGCTGTCATTTACATCACTGGATGATGATGGGGCTCAGGTAAGTATTGGGGCTGGGGGAGCTGCTGCACACAGAAGGTTTTTTACATTCATGCACAGAATGCATGAATGTAAAAAACCTTCAGCCTTTACAACCACTTTAACATCAGACTCCAAGGAGTTTCCCTTTACATCACAGTCCACAAAGTTCTCCCTTACATCAGAGTCCACAGAATTCCCCTTTACGACAGTGTAAGGGGGAACCCTGCGGGCCCTCATTTAAAGGGGAATTCTGCAAACCGTCTGTAACGTAAAAGGGAACTCTGATGTAAGGTCCTCTTCCATAAACAAGTGTCCACAGAGTTCCCCCTTACAGTACAAGGGGGAACTCAGCAGACCCTGATGCAAAGGGCATGCTGCGAACCATGATGTAAGGGAGAATGCTGCAGACTCTGGTGTAAGGTGGTCTCTGGCCACCAGATCCCCCCTTAAATCAGAGTCTGCAGTGTCCTCTTTACATCAGAGCTCCCCTTTACATCATGGTCCACACTGTAAGGGGGAATCCTGCAGACTCTGATGTAAAGGGGAACTCTGAGGTCACTGATTTAAGGGAGAACTACGGGATGGGGGGACTCTGGTGGACCACAGACCACCTTCTGCAGAGTGAATACAGTTAGGTATTGGGGGGGGCTTACTGATATAAGGGGGAACCTTTGTTTTTAATAAAGGTCTTGTCAAAGACTGTCTCCTGTCATTTTTCCACTGCAGTTTTTTTTTTGTGAATGGGTAGCGGTACCATGTACCCCATACTCATTCACATGGGGAGCCCGGATTTGGGGCCCCCTTGTTAAAGATGGCTTCCAGATTCTGATGTCACCCCCTGCAGACCCCCACAACCACGGCTGCAGGGAAGAGACCCTTGTCCCCATCAACATGGAGACAAGGTGCTTTGGGGGGGGGCCCCCCTGCTTCAAAGCATCCCGCCAATGTTGAGGGCATGTGGCCTGGTATAGTCCAGGGGAGGGGGGCACTCGCTCGTCCCCCCCCCTTTCCTGATCTGCTTGGTATATGAATGGGTGGGACCCCACACATTTTTCTTTTACATTTTTTAATTGCAGGCCATGCTGGTAGTTCTCTTTACATTCAGCAGTCAGCAGGGAATCCTTAGCACCCAGCAGGGAATCCTGCTGACAGCTGAAACAATAATGTTTTTAGTAGCTATGCAGTATCTTACCATATACTCAGATGTGGTAAGATACCGCTCAGTGAATTGTCTCCTCTGTTCAAAGTTCGCGATCAAACTTTCATTGTGTTCGAATATTCGACCGTGAACCGAACAGGGGGGTGTTCGGCCCATCACTATCAGCAGCATTCATGATGGACTAGAGGGGGGATAGCCTATGTAAAGGTATTCCAATGAGGAGGGAGTTGAAGTTGTCAAAGCGAGAGATGACCAGGAAGCTTTGAGGTGTCATTGGTTAGAAAGGGGTGTATTTTTGGAGATTTTGCATAGGTTGAGGCCGCAAGCTTTGGACAGTGATTGGATATGCGCCGATAGAAGAGTTTAAAGTATAGGGTTATCACCCTGGAATGGGGGGACGGGTTGATCGTTGTGCCATCAATTTTAAAGGGAAAGGGGCCCATGGGGGAGGAAATGTTATGAGCTCAGTTTTGGATAGCTTGAGTTTGAGGAAGTGGTGCGACATCCAGACTGATAGGTCTGTTAGTAAATTAGTGATGTGTGTGGAGACTGATGGAGTGAGCTGAGTGGTATAGAAATAGATTTGGGTGCCATC